AATTGCTCACCTAAATCAACAAGAGAAGAGTTGAAACGCTTTCAACAACGGCTACATGGTCAACAAATATGTCCCCTTATCTGCAATCCTTCCTATTATCATTATTATTATTATTATTATTATTATTATTTTTTTCCTATCCTATCCTATCCTATATATATATATATATTATATATATATATATTTTAACGCCTATATGAAATTGTTTAATGCTTATTTGGTGATCAATTCTAAGTTTATCTATGCCGCTCCACTTTGATTTGTTATTTTGTGTTTTGTGTATCCTCGTGAGACGCCACATTGCCCATTTTAACCAAAAAGGAAATCACCCGACGAAGCATTTTTGTATACTATTATTCTTGAACGTTACGTACATAACGTTCGTTACGATACGTAACGCGTGTTATGTACGTTACGTTACGCTCCATATCTGGTGCAATTCCCCCAAATTTTTTTTACCGAACTTAGGTTGTATTTATAGCCAAATTAAGGCTTTGTATTTGGATTTGATTCTTCGTACTTAAATGTGGCTTATTAAAAATATTTATCTTTCGAAAAGAAAATGTGTCCATTTATTATGCAATTTACATTCAAAAAATAATCGTTTGTTTAACGAAATTTTTTAACACAGTTGTTGGCGAACCACTTTTATTATTCGTGGCTGTTAATTATACTGCTATGATTGTAAAATGTTTTCCGAGATTATTTACTATGAAATAATGCAATTGGCTGATTGCTTGACATATTTGTTTTAACAAAATTACTACGTATCTTTAATTAAAATATTTAAAGGTAAAATATTTAAGCGATAAAATAAAATTTGTCACAATCGTCTATCTTCCTGATTAAAAAAAAAAACCCCCATAAAATATATAATAAATTATATAAATTTCTTATTTACTTTCCTACTGTATACTATTGTTGTGTTTTCTCTATTTTGGTCACAAAATGCCTTCACATACTTCTTTAATTGTCTTAATCGTAGCAAAGAATGATAGAACCTCATTTGCCCAAGGACTGGCAAAATATCAATTAGACCATAATGTTTTTCAAACTATTAGATGGAAGTATTTTTATTCTTCAATAAACCTCGCTTAGAATTTTCACAAGGTGACATCCTTCTTTTTGAAGGAAAATTTATAATCGAAGATGGATATGAATATATTACGGTTGCTTATGCTAGCGTTATTAGCATTGGAGACTCTAATGATGGATTTAAGTCTGATGAAATTCCTCTTTGTAAACCTCATTTTATGTCTCCTGCAACTATTAAAAATAATCCCAAACCTCTTAATGAAAAGATTTATTTTGGTGTTGAATGCCGTGTATATAATTCATTTACCACGCATGAAGTTCGTATGGAAATCATTGTTTCTTATCCTTCTCAAGCTACTAGATTTGATCATTTAAATGATTGCATCAAAATAGGTCGAACATTCATCTTGTCTGGGTTAATAAAAATCGAATCTAATGCAAAAACATTAGAAGCCACAGATATAGATTATTTAACGTCTTTCAATACAAGTTATAATTTAACTGGAAATTCCTTACCAACTGCTTCAAACACTCACTTGGATATCAGTATAATCGCAGACGAATTCAGATCTACAAATTCTGAATCTCCAAAAAAGCATAAAAAATTGATACCTAATCCTGTCAGCTACAACACAAATACAAGAACCAACATCCATCATTACTGAAGTTGATATGCCCATCGATACTGAAGTTACATACCTACTGATATTGAAGTTACTACAAATAGAAAGGGCAAAAAAAAAGTAACTGATTTAGCATTAAATGCCCTCGGTCTAAACACCAATCATAATGAAGATCGAAAAAAAAATAAAAAAATAAATATTCGTCTATACCGCAGACAAAAAAAATATAAATTCTAAATATAAATATAGAAAAAAAAACTTTTAGTATTTGTAAATCTTGGCTATGACATATTTGTAATTCTTAAAAACATATTCTCTTTATATTTTCTTTGTAAATATTGTTAAGTAGGCTACTGCTATAAATTTACAATGATTATTTGAGTACTGCCAAAGAAAACATACACGTTTAAATATTGGCAATATTTAAATGTGTAAGTTTTCTTTTGATGACTTTTCTTTTGGTGACACTTATAATATTTTTTTTTTGTGAAAAATTTTGTTATAAATAAAGCTCATTTATTTCTTGATAGAACTTAATAAAACTTTATACACAAGACTTATAAATCTCAATAAACGCCTTTATTAAAATTTACTATGTCACTTCGAATGATTTCAACCACGATTAAAAATCTATATAATGAATGCGATTATAATGAATTAAATATAGATATTATGTCAAACCAAGATTCATCAACAACTAATTTAGACCACCCACAATTTGTTTCATTGCAACCCAACTTTACAACTTACTCACCGTGGAATCCTTCTCAGGCTTTAAGTCAACTTAATGATCATTTTCAAAATGAGATATTATATATGTTCCTGTGTATTCCCTGTTCTCATTGCTCAATCCTTATGTTTCCAAGTCAGACTAAATGGGTTGAATTTAGTAATAACGAAACTTATGATCTTCTCAGAGCTTTTCCAAATTTATTACTTATTAAACATCCAAATAAACAAAACTACATCGCAGTCTGTGCTTCATGTAAAACAATCACTAATTGTCGCCAAGCTCCAACATTAGCTCCGATTCCAGATGTGTTAGCAAATGTTCCTATGTTTCATCATCGATGGCTCTCCCTAGTTCATTTAAGTTGCTCTTTAGGGCGAACAGAAAATTCAAACTGATTTACCTATTATCGTCATCTTACTGGAGAGTTTGGTCTATCAAAAAATATTTGCGTTTTACATTTATATTCAGGAACATCTTAGATCCAGCCGCTAATAACAATTGGTTTCATTATACTTTACTAGATGCTGCTAATTGATTAAAAACAAATAATTCATTTTTTCATTCTCTCGACCAAATAGTTACTTCAAACTTTACAACTCATGCACCTTCTTCTTTCTCCTCTGCTAGATTGATTAACAATCAAGAAAATAGATCAATTGAAAATATGCATTTATGTCATAACCCAGATATAGTAGTACCAATAGATAACTTCAATCCTGAAATTCATAATGAAAACTATCATTATAATAGACTTATGGCTGGATTTATACTAAATTCTAATGGAACAGAACTTCCAATTAAGTATAATGATCCAGATTTAGAAGCTATTCTTTTTTCTGACCTTTTTTCAGATGGCCATGGCCATTGGGATAAAATTTCTAAAGAATTATCAAATCATCGATATAAACTTGATGCATATTGTAAATATATTAAATTACGTATGCTATGTCCAGACCCTCGCTTTCGACTTCATTGGTACTGGTCACATTGGTCTTATATGAATCTAGAAAAATTAAGAAACCATCAAAATAAACAACACATTATACGTCAAAAAACAACTGACCATTAACAACTTCCAACAATTGCTGATTTAGTTGATCGAAGTATTTACAATAATCGACCAATTATAAATGAAACTTTAACTACTACAATACCTTCGTATATAAGAACAGGAAACACCTACTTCCGTCAACATGAACATTCAGTTAATATAATGGTACAAAATCTTGGATTACCCTAAATTTTCTATACAATGACTATGGCTGAAGGGCATTAGCATCATTTAAAAAAAATTTTGTCTTGTACTGATGATTGTTCTACAATGCCAACAAACCGTCCCTTACATATCTATCTTGATTATTATCATAGACTAAACTCTATTCGCAATTTATTATGAAAAAAACCTAATTTAGCTGAATGGAGTAGTTAGTTACACTATTTTGAAAGAGATGAATTTCAAAACTGCAGAACAATACATATATATGGTGTGATTTATCTTGATACACCAATTCAAACTTTAATAAATCATAATATCATCCGTGCCAATTTACCTGATCCACAATCTGAACTCATCCTTTATGATCTAGTATATAAACATCAAATTCATCAGTGTCGCCCAGATAAATGCAATGGACCACCTCTCCCTGGTGAATAGTGCAATAAAAAATTTTCTGCTTCATTGTCTGAATACACATATTTAGACTCTTCTTCATTTAGTTATATCTACCGTCGAACAAAAGAAGATGATTGATATATCATCCTGTACCATGCCCCTACTTTATTATTATGGCAAGGTTACTGTAATTTTCAGTATGTTTCTTCTAAATCCTTCGCAAAATATATGACTAAATATATTACAAAACCAGAATGATCTGATTTATTTATGTTAAGAGAACATTATGCATACTGTTCTCATATTTTAGCCAGAAGACTTGGATCTATGGAATTGACTATCCTTCTGCTTGGTTACTCGATTTGCCAGTCTTCAATTGCTGTTCAGTTTTTACCATCTTTGCCACCAAATGTAAGATCAAAATCAATAAAACCAATTCATTTACTAGAAGATAATAATAATATAAACTCTTATTGGGATGATTCTATTAACAAATACTTTTCCAGACCAATTGAATCATATTTTGACAACATTACTTACTCATATTATTATCATTATTACTGAATACAACTTAATCGACCTAACTCAAATACAAACTTTTGGATTGATCAGAAAATTTGTTATTAAAAGAAAAAAGCCTATTTTAGTACGATTTCTTCGATTAATAATTGATGACGTGGAGCCTTTTTTTTATCAATAATTGTTAACTCAAATACCCTGGAAAAATGAATCTGAAATACTTGGACAACATCCAAATTACCAACTCATTACCAAATAAAATTTTCTGAACAATATACACAAGCTATACAATATACTCATCATCTTCAAGTGTGCAATTTCTTAGATTTTCTAACAATTATCAATGAATATTCGATAGAATTATTAGTAATATGCCCCAAAATATTGTATTAGTAATCTGTGATTAACTAGAAAAATTGATAAATTATTCTCCTCCAGTTCTCTGTTATTCCTTATTAGAAACACCAAATGCCAATATTTAGTATTCAATATACTAACATCTGCATAGAGAAGAGCCAACGAATGTGGTCATCCATATTTTTTTTTAACTAGTTTTGCAGGTACAGGAAAATCATACCTAATAAAATTAATTGTAAATCATCTTAAATCACAATGCAAAGAATTCTTGATAATGGCGGCACTCAATATAGATAGCAAAACAATTCATTCACAATTAAAAATTAACCTCTAGGTAATTAATTTTGAAAGCTTTGCTTTATATGATCAAGAATATCGCCAACAACTTTTAAGAATTGATGTTATTATCATAGATGAAATATCTTGGTATCATCAAATTTACTAACTTTTATCAATAATCTTTTCGCTCGATTGCATAATAACTCATTACCATTTGGTGGGATTAGAGTCCTATTAATTGGTGATCTTGCACAACTACCACCAATAACAGGAGCCCAAGTATTTCAATCTCCAGTTTGGTTAGAATTCTACTCTTTATTTTTAACTACTTCAACAGACATGATCAAGATTCTGATTATTATAGCATCTTAGAAGAAATTCGTTCAGGAAATATTTCACCGACTACCTTACAAAAAATTGAAAAAAAAGTAAACAACTCTTCATTATGTAGCCCGATAAATACTACACATATTGTTGGTTTTCGTGCTATTGCAAATAGCATAAATAGGTTAGCCTGTTCATCCTTACTAGTAAATTCAGAAAATCTCAACCTATTATTTCAATAGCGATCGACCATATCAATGGCCAAGAATGTGATCCAACAGGAAATAATCATAACTTCTGTCATCAAACAAATTTACCTTCAACTCTAACTCTACAACAAGGTGTTCGTATTATGTATCTTGACAATCTCTTATTTGAATACAACCTCTGTAATGGTTTAATTGGTGTTATCACTGATATAATTGATGAAAACACAATAAATATTGCTTTTTCAACACCACGAACAATCATTACCACATCTATAAAAAAGACAACAAAATATTTTTATTTTAACAGTATATCTGCTAGCCAGCACCAATTTCCATTACAAAACGCATTTGCACTTACTGTACATAAAACACAAGGTTTAACAATACCCCATACCTCAATATCGATTGATGATCAAATGTTTGCATATAGTCAAGCATATGTTGCATTTAGCAGAACTCCAACTTGAAGTTCATCAGACATTACATCATTTGAACTAAATGCTATAACAACAGATCCCACTGTAAATAACAAATATCAATGATTAATATCAATACATAATCGAGGTTTAGGTCAATTCGTAAATAGATTTATTAATTCGTAGCAAAAAAAAATAAAGAAATCATACCATATTTAAATAAATTATATTGTAATTACTGATCTAAACATATATAACAAACTTTTTAACTAGACTCTACATGATAAATTAGATAAAACTTACAGAGCTAAATTTATAGTAAATCAATGTATCTTTCACTAAATTACTATACCTTTCTCTGCTTCAAAAATTACTTTTTACCTTACAATTCACCTAAATACATCAATAACTTTTATATATAACTCTTATTCAATATTTTTTCTCGATTTCTATCAAACCAATTATATTAACTGATTAAACTAAAATGATCAATATGTACAAACCTCAAAAAAACAGATATTTACTCATAAATTTTATCAAATATGGGAAAAATACATTTACTCAACATAAATAAATTCAAATATTCATAACCA